ATTGCTAGCAACAACGCACCAATTAAAAGCTTCCTTTTGCTAATAGGATTAGGAACCAATAGTAAAAATATCGTGGGCGCGGCGTAGAGTTGTTGAGCGTTAGCCCTTCGTCAAGGCAACAGACACCCAGACTGGGTGGAGGCGAAAGTAATCAGCCGCAAGTTAAATAACGCAGGTATCACAATGAATTAAGTGTTTAAGTCTCGAGAACATAAAAAATAACCAGCAACTAAAGAAGCTCTCGATGGTTTTACAAATTCTCTTTATAAGGACCTGGGAAATGTATGGAGAACAGTAAGGAGAATATGCATACTGATGTTAGGGTTTAAGAAGTTGGAAATAAGAACTCTTGATAACAAAATTGGAGATGAAAGCGGGCTAGGTCAGAGCAATTAAGTACAAATTAGCACAACAGAATATTGCAAAACACCAGAAATTAATCGGTTCAGTACGAAAACAGTTATAGAAACTCCTTGTCGGCACATTTTCAGATGGGAAAACAACCTTGAAGTAAAGAGTTGTCGGAGGCGAAGGTTTCCTGGGTAACGTTGATTTTCATTTCCAAGTAAGGTGTTGTTCTCAAGTAAAATTAAGGATGAAAAACAAAGCGTAAACATCAAAGGAAAAGTAAGACTTTAAAAACAATATTTTTCACAGAACAAGGAGCAAATCACTTTGAGAACAGTCCTCAAATAATCCGTTGATTTTTCAGTAATTAGGAAGTTAATTAATATCTCCAAATAAGGTATGGTTCAGGAAACTAACGAAACTAGACAAACAACACTGATATGTAAACAGCCGTCCTTATATGCAGATGAATTTAGCCCAGGAGGGGCAAGAAAAGTTGAAAACAACAGAAAGACAGCTTCAAAATTCACATCAGTTGGAAAACAACGCTCGATTACAATTTTTGAATTGAACTATTAAATAGAAAAAGTGAAAAACCCGAAAGTGGAATTTATGTCTAATGTACTTCTATGTCCATTAAAATTTAGTGTGGATTTGTTAAAGTTTAGTGTAGGGACTGATTGGCGATTATCAATCTTTTGAACATGCGGAAATCAAGTTAAAGTTGCGGTTCGTTGCGGCGATTCATAAAGGGCCTGTTGGACAGGGCCTACTTGTGGATGGCTGGCTTTCAAAACTTTCCAGGTTGCGACCTTTTCTTTGAATCTGAAAGTTCTTTAAATCTTTTTTAGAAAGATATCAACATCACTCAACTGAGCATAGCTTTTTTCGAAATTTGGGTGGAGGCGAAAGTAATCAGCCGCAAGTTAAATGACGCAGTTATCGCAATTAATCGAATGCTTTCGTCTCGAGAATATAGGAAATAACTAGCAACTAAAGAAGCTCTCGATGGTTTTACAAATTCTTCATGTTAGAACCTAAGAAATGTGTAGAGAACAGTATGGAGGATACGCATGATGATGTTGGGGTTTAAAGGGTCAAGAAGGCAGAAATAAGAACTTTTGATAAAGACGTTAGCAATGAAAACAAAATTTGGTTAGGTAAGTGAGGATTTGGTAAGGTTAAGGGTTAGGACTGATTGGGGATTAGGGATTGGCGAATTTTTGTGCTGCGGAATTACATTTTAAAATTGCGGTCCATTGTGGCTTAGAACTTTCCATGCTGCTTAACATTAAAAAGTAGATAAACGTAGTTTGCTTCAATTGAATAGTTTAATTGTGTAGTTCGCTTCAATAAACGAAGTTCGCTTTTATTAATTTTGCCGTTTCTTAATCGCTTTTGAAGTGAAGAATTATATTTGAATCATCGAAGGCACGGACGGGCTTACAGACGGATGTTACGTAGTTCTGATTCACGTTTTGTTTTATCTGTATACTTTAAGCTCAGTCCATTTTTAAGTCTATAATCATGATCGCATTGAGGAATTGGAGACTGGGAGCTATGGTGGTATGGCGACCAACAAACTTTTGTGATCGGGAGTTTTCCTCAGAGCTCATTGCCTCCTCAATCGACCGATAAACCCATTACCATCGTTAGCTCTAATCAGAGCTCATGGTCTCCCCGATCCACCAACAAACTTTTGCGACCGGGAGCTCTTATTAGAGCTCACTGACTCCCCGATCGAGCAGGAAACTTCTTGCGATCGGACTCCCGATCAGTAAACAACCTATACTTTACGACATAATCCGACCCTGTGAACAAACTTCACATGGAGTAAAATGCTACTGTTAGTCAATTTTCTTCTTAATTTCACGTACTTTGACTTTTTCTAATACGATCCTTTTCTCATAGTTAAATGTATTTTCCCCTTTTCGGATAGCAGAAACCGAAAGATATCTTTGGTTAAGGTCTATGTTTTAAAACTTCGAGAAATTTTTATTTAAAATCTTCAAGCGCAATAATATTCGAATATTACAGTTACACGAAGACAGGGGTATAGAGAAATTTAAACGGATTACTTTCACTTTGAAAAACCGTACTTCTTTATTCTTGCAAATCAAAAACGTCTTGCAGGCTCGTGAGAGTCATAGAAAAAGTACAACATTGAATTTGACTTTAGATATAGAGTATAGACTTGTCCGCCGACGACACTCTCAGCTACTTCATTACTTCGCCTGGGTTAACAAGCCATTCCTCTTCGGTTCTCTTAACTGTTCATTTTATTTTGTAACTCGAAGTGCTTGAACAACAGCTCGTAGAAATCCAGAGGTTTGAAAATATCCAGGTACAGGGAGTACTGTTTTTCAGCCGTCAGTGTAGACATAGCCTCTTGCACATCGCTAGGAAGGTACTGAAATATCTCTTCCGGTATTGTCATCTCGGGATCTGATTGTCCGTATTTCCGCGTTCTCTTTGGGCTTTTCTTCTCCATAAACGTAGAAAATGTATGTTTTACGGTTGCACTCATTTTCCACAGCTTCGGTAAAATATTGAAGTGTTGGTTCGAAATGTCACGTAGTCCAGTTCATAAAGTTGGCTAATGATATGGAGTACTGGTTATTTATGTTCTTATTACTAGCACCCACGTACCAATCAAAAGCTACGTTTTGGTGCTAGGATTAAGAGCTATACTGCAAACATCGAAGCACACGGGCGTGGCTTAGAGTTGTTCCGCTCTGACGTCTCTCGAAACGTCAGCTTGTAAACTCTTTAGGGTGGCTAATTTACGTAATTAACTCGGCTGATAATACTAAACTACCCTGTTAAAATCTCTCACCGACGCAGCACCACAATTTCTTCAGAAACATGACCCCTTTATCAATTCATAAAGGGCCTGTTAGAAAGGGCTTACGCGTGGATGGTTGGCTTTCAAAACTTTTCCTGTTGCGACTTTTTTTTATCTCAAAGTTGTTTAAATGTATTTTTAGAGAGATATCAAGAGCATTCCACTGAGCACAGCTTTTTTAAATTGGGAAGGGTTTAGCTCGAAATAAGGACTGGGTGCAGGCGAAAGTAATTAGGCGCAAGTTATCACAATGAATCAAATGCTTCAGCTCTCGATGGTTTTACAAACTCTCTTTGTTAGAACATAGGAAATGTATGGAGAATATGCATAATGTGGTTAAGGTTTAAATGGGAAGAAGGCGAAAATAAGAACTCTTGATAAAGACGTAAACAATGAGAGCAAAATATGAAATAAAAGTGGTCGAAGGTCGAAGTAATTAAGTACAAATTAATGACAGACGTAGTTAGCACAACAGAACGCTGCAAAACACCACAAATTAATCGAAAACAGTCATGGGAACTCTTTCCAAGCACATTTTCAAATTAGAAAACAATCTTAAAGTAAAGAGTGGGCGGAGGCGCAAGATTCTTGGGTGAGGTTGGTTTTTATTTTCAAGTAAGGTATTGTTCCAAAATGAAATTAGAGATGAAAAAGAAAGTGTAAACTTCAAAGGAAAAGCAAGAGTTGAAAAACAATTTTTTTTTAGAACAGGGAGTAAATCTCTCTTGAAAACAGTTCTCAAATAATCCGCTAATTTCTCAATAATCAGGAAGTTAATTAATATCTCCAAATAAGGTATGGTTCAGGAAACTAACGAAACTAGACGAACAACACTGATATGTAAACAGCCGTCCTTATATGCAGATGAATTTAGCCTAGGAGGGGCAAGAAAAGTTGAAAACAACACAAAGACAGCTTCAAAATTCACATCAGTTGGAAAACAACGTTCGGTTACAATTTTGAATTTAACTATTCAAATAGAGAAAGTGAAAAGCCTGAAGTTATAAAATTTATGTTTAATATACTTCCATGTCCATGGGAATTTAGTGGGGATTCGCTTAAGTTTAGGATCGGGACTGATCGAGAATATTTTGGGCTGCGGAAATGCATTTAAAATTGCGGTTCAGTGTGGCTTATTGTTTTTCGTCTGAACGTAGCTTTTTTCCAAACTGGGAAGGGTTTGCTTCAAGTTTGCTTCGCTTGGTTGTAGCTGGAAAGTTAATTGAATCAACGGAAAATCTTCAGTTAAACTACAATTCAAGGTCATATAGAATTGTCAGAAACATGTTTTGAAAGCTTCAATCAAATCAAGCATTTATTTTAATGTCAATTTACTCGGCGGTAAATCCATTCAAGTGTAGAAAGTTATTTGAATCAAGTAATTTTTTTTCTGTAAACCGTTGTTGATATACAAATAGAATTATCAAAACCAATTTGGGAAGGTCGTAGTTCAAGTAGCAATTGCATTTTGTTTCCCTCTGCTATGTAAAGTTGGCTTTAATTGATTTTGCCGTTTGTTTATCGCTTTTGAAGTGAAAAATTGTATTTGAATCATCGAAGGCACAGACTGGCTTACAGACGGACGTGCGTTATGACGTCACCGCTAAATTTTTTTGGCTAACTCTTCTTAGTTCTGGGCCAACGCTGTGCGCGCACTTCTCGCGTCGCGAGAGCTTCGCTACTTACGATCGATTATCATCTCAGACACCATTTTATGGAAAACGAGTGTTACCCGTTAAACCATCTAGACGGGTTTTGTGAGTAGTGTTACGTTGTTCTGATTCACGTTTTGTCTGTATGCTTTTAGCTCAGTCCATTTGTAAGACTATGAGCATGAACGCGTTGAGGAATGGGAGACTGGGAGCTGCATTGGCTTGGTGCCTTAGATCTAAGGTAAGGGCAAACAGTTAGATGTAAAAGTCTGCTAATAAATGAAACTTATACAGGCTGCCTCTTATATTCTTACAAGGGCCTTAGGTTTAAATAAATTAATGGACCTCGAGATTTATCAGTTAGTGGATTTTTTGAAGTTAAAGTATTGTGTCTTTCGCCGTCTTGTCTCTTTTCAAAGAGGTTGGCTAGATTTAGTGTACTGTTTTTCTTACAAGGAAAATGCTAAACTCTGATCGAATAACCCCGACACAATTCCATCCAACAATTATCGATCGAAAGAGTCACATTCAATTCATTAGACAATTGCAGCAGTTTAGAGTTATGTTGGTGAAAGAACGAGAAATATGTGACACTTTCTATAAGTCTCTCACAGCTGTTTCGAGTTGAGAGTCAACTACTTGCTTATTCATTACAGGGAGGGTTACCTTACCCTGGGACTAAACCTATACCTATGTTTAAAGGATGTGTCGGCAGGTTCGCGCAGGGTTCTTAGGGATCTATTCCCCCTACTCTCTCATTTGTCAACTCAGGCAATTCGGTGTTACATCACACTTGAAATTTTCCTTAATACCCACCACTTGCCTGATTGGTATTATATTGATATCGTCACCGTAGAAACTGTTTGCTTGGTCCCCAGTCTCAGCACACCTGGCTGCGACCGTTTTAATCACCATGGGTGGTGCATGGTCATAGTAAATCTTTGCGATAACATTTACAGCAACTCTTAAACTTAACCTGTGTGCCACGGCCATGCAGCAGGCCGTACTGTTATTACTTATTATTATTTGGTACGTAAGGTAGTTCCGAGGTCAATCCAAGCGTTTTGATTGTTCTTACTCGGTCAGGATTTTACCATACGCGCAGAAACGGTCATAAGCCGTGTATAGTTGTTCGCGAAAACCAGTCAATCAAAAATCATCAAGTTTGGTCCAAGTGCCAAGTGCCAAGTAACTAACCTCGTTTGCTAGAGCTACACAGCGGAATATTGGCCCTCGATCGTTTTTATGCGGACGTCGCTGCGCTCGGTCCGTACAGCCATGACCTCGGGCTTATATTCCCCAGTGCGGCTCTCACGCTTGATTAGTAAGAAGTTAGTATTTGTGCTCTATAGTCGAGGAGAAGAAGAAGAAGAATCTCAAAAAAGGCACCGCGCATCACCCCCGTTACACAAAAGGTTTGACAAGGGATTGCTGCACACTGATTTTTAAGGGGGTGGGGGTACCTTTGGAAGTATCAATATTTATGGTTCAGGAACGGTTTTCGCAATATCTCCAAACTACTCAACCACGTGTTAAAATCGTTTTTTTAACTTTTGTAGTTGTTAAACGTGGGATAAATGCGGTCGGTTGAACAGTGGTTGCTAAGGAAACCAAGATGAACTTGGTTTTATAAAATATAATAAAAACTGCCTTTTAAATTATTATTTCGTATCGATTTGCAATGAAAGAGAACGATCACAGCTCATAAACTCCCCGATCGACCAACAAACTTTTGTGATCGGAAGCTCTTATGAGAGCTCATTGACTCCCCAATCGACCAACAAACCTCTTGCTATCGGGAGCTCTTATTGGAGCTCATTGACTCCCCGACTGACCATCAAACCTCTTGCGATCGGGAGCTCATTTCAGAGCTCATGAACTCCCTGATCGACCAACAAACGTATTGTTATCGGGAGCTCTTATCGGAGTTAGTGGACTCTCCGATTGGCCAACAAACTTTTGTGATCGGGAGGTCTTATCAGAGCTCATGGACTCCCTGATCGACCAACAAAACTTTTGTGATCGGGAGCTCTCATCAAAGCTCGTTGATTCCCAAATCGACTAACAAACTTCTCGCGGTCGGGAGCTCCTATCAGATCTCATGGGCTCCGTAATCGATCCTCAAACTTTTGTATTCAGGAGATCTTATCGGAGCTCATCGACTCCCCGTTCGACCAAAAAACGTCTTACGATCGAGAGCTCTTATTAGAGCTTATTGACAGCCCGATCAACCAACAAACTTCTTGTGATCGGCAGCTCTTATCAGACTTCACTGACTCCCCCATCGACCAATAAACTCTTGTTATCGGGAGCTCTTATTAGAGCTCATTGCCTCCCTAATCGACCGACAAACCTATCGCGATCGGGAGCTCTTATCAGAGCTCATTGACTCCCCTATCGAGCATAAAACATTTGCGATTGAGAGCTCTTATCGGAGCTCATTTACTCCCCGATCGACCAAAGAACTTTTGAGTCGGGAGTTCTTCTCAGAGTTCATTGATTTCCCGATCGACCAACAAACTTTTGCGATCGGGAGCTGTTATTAGAGCTCACTGACTCCCAATCAAGCACCAAACTTGTGTGATCGGGAGCTCTTATCAGAGCTCAATGACTACCCGATCGACCGACAAACTTTTGCAATCGGCAGCTGTTGTTGTCGGGAGCTGTTATAAGAGCTCATTTACTACCCAAACGACCCGCAAACTTCTTGTGATCAGGAGCTGTTAACAGAGCTCGTTGACTCCTCAACTGACCAATAAGCTACTTGTCAGTGCTCATTGACTCCCTCATCGACAACAACCTGCGATCGGGAGCTGAATTTCTTTTGCCTTTGCCTATAAAGCAAGATTAATGTTAAGGTATTCTTGGAGTGAACAACGTCTGTCATTTATTGTTTTCAGCATTTTCGACTATTTCATAAAATCACGTTTGTTCTTGGTTTTCTCAGCAGTTTTTTCCATGGAAACGGTTAACCAACCAACCAAAATTATCCCACATTAAGTAACTACCAATGTTACATCACTCCTCCAAATTTTATGTTATTTGGTTGAGCAGTTCCAGATGTATTGCAGTAAAGTTCCTGAAAACATAAATATTGGCACTTCCAAAAGTACTTCCCTCCCCCGAACAGCAAGTCACTAACCTCACAATTAGTGACTACAACTAGCATCGCGATGATCTCTTGGTATAAGGCTATCCGAATCTGATGTCAAACCTTTTGTGTAGTGGGATGCTGCGAGGTTGTCTTTCTCTGGCTTCTCCTCCTCGGCTACTAAAGTTAAAGTGAGTACTTGTCTGCGTATAAAGTATCGAGGATGTTTCCTGAACTTTCATAAACGACTACGATAGCTGGTTATTGGTTTACTTTGTCATGTGATCTTGCGCGAAATGTCGTGGTCATTATTTTATTCCTGGTTAGATTATACAATTTAGGTTGTCAAATGGAGATTTTGAAGGAAGTTAAGCTCGGAGCTGGAGTAGACAGGCTAGATTATGTCTAATTTGCGTAACTGGTGGGTTCGGCGGCTGTTTTCACGGCTCCGCTGCTTGACGCTTCAAAGCGTAGAAAAAATCCAATGGCTACCCAGACAAGAAGATGCCAAAAGCGATCTGAACAGGGGTAATTAGGGTTTAAATTGATTGACACGGATTACAGATTCACTCCGATCTCGTTATGTAAACAATTCACATTATCAGCTTCATAAAACCAAATTATTTTGCACCACCCCCACTATCCTAGTTTCCTCAGAACCTTATCCCTTTTATTCGCGGATTACTAATGAAAAACTTGAAATGCTTCTGCAAACTCTTTCATGAGCACAACGTAAGACCAATTTCCTCCATCTAACCTATGACACGAACCTTGACTGTAATAATCTGGGTAAATCGTAAACGCACCAGTTTGTTAAACGTTAACTCTCTTACGTTGTTTTATTTTGTGTTTAGGACTCTACATTTGCAGCTTTTATTTCAGAAAGGTATGAATAATTCTTCACGGTGTTGGTTATCTCTTTTGTTAAATTGGAGTGTAGCATGGAGAATGATTGTGCATGACTTTTCGACCTTAGGAGACCTTCGAGCCAATTATTCTGGTACGATTTTCGCTTACCATCATCGGACACAACTGCGATAAGAATCGTGTCGTCTAAATCGTTATTAAGGTGGCTGGAAACAGTTTTTAGAAACGCCTACTGACTATATTCAAAGCGCTCAAAACCAAACTTTCCCCTTTCGCAGTGGGACCAATTTCACGCATGTGTTGACCAAAGGATTGAAGTTTCAAAAAGTGGGCGTGGCATAACAATCGCAGTTACTATTGTTATGCTAACGTTATGGAGAAGTCCCGTTAAACAGTATTTGGGAACAGTCGAAAACTCCACGGTAGATTATCCCCAAACTTCAGAATTTTCCCGTTTTAAGATAGGGCTTCGCAGCTGAGTGAATTTAAACAAATGAAATCTAGCTGTTTCATAATTATTATGCCGCTAAGGTTACATTTGATTTAACTGCTGTGACATGATACTGTTTACGAAAATAACTTTAAATCACGTTCTATCCAATAGATTATAATTTTTATTCAAAGGGGGCGCAAATAAACACGAAAATGGCGACCATACGTTAAACGCAGTCCCGAGCGCAGTTCAGTGACATTTTTCCTTCTGAAATAGCCTTGGAGACCAGGCTCTGGAGCATACTATTACCAAAGATGCCTAGATATTATCATTGCCACTTCTTCTGCTCAAGGCAGATTACAAATTTGACCTTTTGTATCATGAGAAACATTTCTGTAGAAAACTGAATGTTTTAGTCCGTTGGAGCGCTTTTTGATCGAATGCCGAAAAACCAAAACCAGGTAATTTCATTTGCCAATCAGATAAAAGGAAATTCACTAGCGGCCAATGAAAACTCAGAGTAAAAACAAGCGAAATTAACTAAAAAAACGCAGGAAAACGCGGGTGGCCAGTTGCGATAGGTTTTAGTTGTGAATCTGATTGGTTGAGAAACTGGCACGAGGTTTTTGGACCAATCATAAAACAAAATAAAACAAAACCGAAGCAATCCTATATTATTTTCGATGCTCAATTTCAAATTGTCCTATTCTGTATCGTAAAACATACCTTTCTTTCAGTCTGAAGTCTCGGTTTTAACTTCAACCATGGTGGCCAGGAACAATTTTGAGTTACCTTGAGTTATCCCTTACATGTGCACTTGAGTTTGTATTGCCTTCGGTCACGCCTGTGAAATGCTATCTAGGCGTGGCAAAATGAAACTTTTTCAATTTCTTGTGTCGAAGCTAGAGTTTTCGTTGGTTGGGATTTGCGTTAGGGTTGCTCTTACGTGTGTTTCCTCGCCGACAAACCTGCACCTTCAGGCGGTGAGTGGTGCGAAGATTTTTTTTTTAAAATTAGTTAATTAAATCTAAGTGATCTGTCGTTTTCTCAATTTGACAGGTTTCTCACAGAGTATTGTAAGAGCGGGGGATTTTCAAATTTGGACCTGATCGACAATCTTGGATCCGCCATGCTCTTAAGCGATCGACTTACGTTTCTTGGTAAGTCAAGACTGAAAAGTTTTTCGGATATGCATCGATAAAGCAACGATGACTTAACGAATATAACTATCGAGGTTTTTCGTTGATTCTACCTAGAGGAGTGACGTCTACTTTGTTCATGCTGTCAGTCGATTCACGAAGACTACATTTTCAATTGAAACTGTTGTTTGCCGCGTAGACGTTCAGGCTTGAGAGTAAGGGCATTCTTTTGGAGGACGAAATGAAATGGAAATCAGTTCCTGCCCAAACACTATTTTCTGCGGTATCTTGAGTTTAGGGAGCTTATTGTTATCATCTCTTCTTTGCTTTGCCATTTTGTTCCCCTAATTTTCATTTTCTTTTTTCATGCAGGGAAATATCGCGAGTTCCATAAAATGTACGAAGAAGGCAAGTTTCATGAAGCTGCCAATTTGCTGATTTCTTTGCTGACATCAAAGCTCGCTCCACAAAGGTGAATCAAATACTGACTCTTCTTAGTCTTGACCTCCAGCATCTTGTCAATTTAAACGATAGCAGAATGCGTTTTGCAAACGCAATTACAAGAGGAACTAACTTGATAAGAAACATTTTATTACACCAACTACACTATATTTTTATTTGCAATCAATCTTTGTAGTTTTCACGACTGTTACTCAGTGATTGCACGCTTCAACTCTTTTGACTTCCGTCCGGCTCATGATTTGCTCGTGTTCAGCTTGGCCCAGCTCGTAGTCGACTCATCTTCGGTTCGCATTCGGTTCTTGCACAGCATGTTCTCGGCCCATGTACGGCGCCAATTCATACAGTGTTTGGCTAGTATTCGGATCATGTTCAGCTCGTATCGGGCTCATACTAGGCTCAAATTCGGGCCTTGCTCGACTTATGTCCAGCTCATACTCAGCTTGTAAACGGCATATGCTTGGCTCGTTCTCAGCTAGAACTTGACTTGTGTCCGTCTCTCGTGAGGCTTCGATTTCTTATCCGCTTGGCCTAAATTTTATTGAAGTATGGGTTTGTTACCTATGCAAGAGAAGGGCCTGGGAAGCGTCCTTTTGTTTTAACCCGCCCGCCCCCCCGTCTGTCTCTCAGTTTGGGCATTGTTTCATCTGTTTTAATACTGCTACTGTTGTCATCTATGTTTCGTCGTTTCGCCTTACACGGTTTGCTTAATGGCGAATTTGCTTAACTGTTTTTTTTTTAAGTAAATCCATTTAGGCTATCAAAGGGTGACGCTCTGAAAGAGTGATTGACCTACCCTGTCGAAGATTACTGAAAAGTGGCAGTTTGTGGGGGCATCTCATTAATGATGTCAATTGAAATGAGTTAACATGTACCAAAAGCGAGCATTATGTAGCTGTTATAAAGAGGTGACCATATTAACTTAGATCTCTTTAACCCTTTTACTCTCGCGATCAGACATGTTATTCTCTTTTCTTAGTGCTATACATTCTTTTGGGAAATAGTTAAGAGAATTCACCTTGTCGTTGATGAGATTTTCTCTGCATCGTATCTAGCTGGCCTCGGTTGTTCAAAGATTGGAGAACGCTATCCACTGGAAAAATCCCTTTCCGGTGGATAGCGCAAGATCTTTTGTTAACACTTATCCTCTGGATAGTGATTCATACTTCGGATAGCGTTATCTGCCCTTTGAACAACTTGGTCCTGTTCTTGAAGCTCTGACCCTAGCGTTGTGCGTTCTTTATATATGTAGCAGTAGCAATTTTGTAGAATGATCTTATCACCCATCCCTCAAGTCTCTCCGATCCATCTTCACCGCGCCCTTGGGAAAGAAGTAGGTATCCTGTTATCACAAACCAAAAGATGGGGGTTAGGAAAGAGATTAATGCTTTTTTTTATTTTACGCGATATTGTATTGTCTCGAAGCTGACAAGTCCACATCATAACTTAAACAACCCCACGCATCTAGACAGAAATCAAATCTGCACACTCGACTTAAGTCACCCACCTAGAAGGATATCTGGCAAAGTCTTATAAATCCAATTTAAACTAAAGCGGTGGAAACAATACATTTGTCTAATTTTAGAGTGGGTGTGATCCGTTTTTCAGTTTTAATTGGTTTTGGCTGTTTCATCTTTCCAGCGGTATGATCAAGTAACTCCCACTCTATGCCCTTCATTCGGAAATGTCTGAGAATTTCAACATTTTTCTTTCTAACTTTATCTAGCATGGCTAAAAATAAACGGGAAGGCGACATTGGGGCTCGTCAAAATACGGAGCAACTCGTAACAATACTCACAGATGCCTCACACCAAAACGTCTATTAAGATATGTATCTTTTTTCCCTTCAATTTGGCAAAAGTTTTTGGGTGCTAAAAAGTAAAGCAAGAGTTTTGGAGTTAGCTCCTTCAATGGCGGTTTGTGTCCCTGACTAACAACTTTGGTTTGATTTTTTCCACGATATTTCCGACGAAAGAAAAACATCTGTAAATTCCACACATCGATTGCCTGTTTCGTCTTAGATTGATAAGCCAAAGGTCCCTTTTTTTCCTTTTTAATTTTATATTGAAGAAATGTAAAATGGTTTCCGTGTTTACATAGCCTGATGAAAACACGCGGGACGTTGGGAGAACACGAGATAAGCGTAGGAAACCACGACGCGAAGCGAAGTGGTTTCCAGCTTATCGAGTGTTCTCCAACCTCCTAAGTGTTTACATCAGGCTATGTAAACACGGAAACCATTTTACATTTCTTTTATAAAATAACTAATGAAAGAGGAACGAAAACCGTGTTTACATACGCTCATGTAAAATGGTTTTATGGCCAATCAGAGCGCGCGTACTATTTGAATTATTTTATAATTTATATTTATAGATCGCACTACCAAGCCGGCATTGCATACTTTACTTTTACATTTTGGGTTTTTAAACATTAAGTTGTAAAATTAACACAACTGGGTTACCTTGAAGCTTTGGTTTCTAGATAACGGAACTGCTCTTTAGTCTTGTTATCGAAGAAAACAAAAAATGAAAATGAATAAACAAACGAAACTTTAAGAAAAGAAATTGCATGAGATAATCTTGTCAGTCACCTTGACCTCGTTAAGTCAACAGTTTTGTTTCTCTTCGTCTCGTTTTTAGACTGATTTGGAAAGTAAAAATAAACTTTGCAATGTTTTCGATAAGGGTGGCATTTAAAGACCTTCTGAACTGTCCTTATACTCTTAGAGTTGACCTTGGGCAGAATAAGCTTTCGAAGGGCTAAGGAATGAGAAAGAGTAGGTAAGAGGACGTCAAAGAATAAAGTCATTCAGATGAGCCAGGTTTGATGAGGTCAAGCTAACGGTATTTTAGGAAATTCTTGTACAGTCGAACCTGTATTAAGTGGCACCGTATTAAGCAGTCACCCTGTATTAAGCGGTCGGTTGTCAAAGTACCGAATTTTTCCCCCTTAGTTACCGCACTTTTTAACTTCTTCGATTTGATCCATGTTTATCTCCCGAGCTTCGTTTAGCAAGTTTCTGTTAATAATGGGATAAAATGACCTGTATTGGGCGGTCAACCTGTATGAAGCAGGCACCCCGCCATTCCTCGTGGGTGACCGCCTAATACAGGCTCGACTGTAATTCTTGTTGACCCTTGCACTCCTAAGATCTAAATATGATATCTCTGCACTGTTTCCAATTCATTTTTGACACAGGTGACTCTGAGAATTAAGTGCTGAATCAAACTCTTGTCAACAAGGACTTGTCAGCACCTTTCAGTCCGCCTTGAAATGTATAGATATTGAAAGAGAGATTCCGTTGTGGTCACATCTGAGAGTGACAGGGTTAATTAGGAGATCTTAACTTGAAGGGATGAAAAATAAAGCAGGTTTCGATTTTGCCGTATGAGTATGCAAGACGCAAGGCTGCCAACAAGTTTGATAGTGGAAGGCAAAAGAAAAAACTTAGGCGGCCATATCATTGTGGACCCCATGTCGTTTCGTGCGAAAACATGCAATAATTTAGTGTTAGATCAAGATAACAACCTCTACCAGATAACTATGAGTATCATGACTTGGTCACTAAAAAAAAATGTGTGGACTTTATAGGGAGAAGTTGGAACTATTCAGTCAGTGTGGCCGGCGTTACGCGAAGCTCGTACAAACCTTAGAGTTCTGAAGATGGAATCGATTCGCATATCTAAACCTGTTATTGGTGAAAGATATAGTCAGTTTAACACGAAACTGGGAAATTAATATTCTACAAACTAAAATTGCACTATTTTTCATTGGAAATTAGGGTGAAATGGGGTGAAAGAAGCCGGTGAAAGATGACAGACTATCCGGCGCTTTTTGTCGGCTACCGGTTTTTAATGATAACCCTGAGGACGTGTGTCATATATGAACCCAGTAAGGCCTAACCCGCCACAGAGTTCCCTGTAGTTTAGTAGAGCATCGGAGCACGGATCACGAAAGGTCGGTTGCTCATGGAGACTCGGAATATTTTTCTTTGTCCCACGCCCGCGACGACAAGATGAAAAAAAAATTCTTTCTTTCTTTTAATTCCTGAGCTATTAGTTACCATCTTTTACCTTCTAATTGGAATTTAAGTTCAACTTGAAACAAATTCAATTTTTCATTATCATTATTTTGATCCTCTTGAAAGCGAATCTAATTTTACTTGTTTTGGTCTTACCATATAAAAATATTTTTATAGCTGTCGAAGTTGTAGAGCTTGTCGGGTTCACCGGCTCGCCAGTGTGCATTTCGGTTCAGTGTGATTCAACCTAACCCCAAGAAATAAAAGCCGGTAATACGAGTTTCGTGACTGCTCTTTAGTTCAGAAAACGTGATTGGCCGATTTGCGATTTTACTTATGCATTTGATTGGTTGAGAGGATAGTGCCAGCTCTCGAGGCCAATGACGGATTTCTCACTGCACCCTATTGAAAATTTCTGTGAAAACGCACAGTTGTAAACTGTAAGAATTTTCATGGCACATCCACTTACTCTTTAGGGAAAATTTTCCTAGGGTCTATTTTCGTGTGTACGGCAAATAGCAGAATCAGGGGAAGGTTTCACTGAGTACCGGATTTCAAAGAAAAACAGACCTCTTTTGAAGTTTCGGACCTTTGGTGACTTTTAGCTTGAAGGTGTCTGTGTAGTAACGGGAGATCGACTCTGTGCCTTACACTCTCTTCTAGCATCCTGTTCAGACCTGGTGTTATTAATTTCAGACACGAAAAATACAAATTCCTACCGGATTTTAGGGGGAAACGGGTCTGTACCGAAGAGCTCGGACCTTTTAGTGAATTGTCGCTAACACTTGTCGACGCGGTGACGGAAGACCAACTGTGACTTACGCCAGTTGGCTCCTTCAAGTTGTCGGCTCGGTAACGGATGAACGCCTCCGTCCCTTTACGCTGCTGTAAACATCCCGGTTTGATTTGTTTACTTTATCTGTAGAGAAATACGTCTTATTACCAACGCAAATTTGAAAAGTTGATGCCTTACCCAACCCAACCCAATAAACAGTTGAATTTACAATTCTGTTTCGGTTTTTCACCTTCCTTTGAATTATTATAACAGTCACATGTGAAGCATGTCTTCATTTCCTTCTCTTTAACCATCGCGTTAACGTTCGATCGCTTTTTTGGCAATTTTCCTACTCTTCACGTAGTTATTAGATGAGGTACTGCGGCGTTGGCCAAATTATTTGTGCAAGACAAGAGCAGCGCTTGAGGAGAAAATGTTGACAAAGTGATACTCCCATGATTAATTTTTCAATCAATGCCATTTATACTTCCTTGCTTTATGTTTCCAAAGCTGTCAACTCGACCATCCCCTCTATGTTCCGAGTCCAAGAATGAATCAGAAAAGAAGGAACTATAGTCACTTCGAAATAGAATAATTGTTTTGGAGGAAAATAATTTACTCAAGCTGTACAAGGCAAAGTTGTACTCCACAATAGCATGTATTTAGCTAAATTCTCTAAGTAAGCGCTGCATTGCTTGCTGTAGCATACTTTCTAGCGCGGCGCTTATTGTAATTTTTGCTCTCGCATGTAGTGCTTATTCGGAGGGTGGCATTTAATCGAGTGAATATGGTATTCTATCTTGCTCCGGGGTTAATTCAGACTTTCTGTTTATCTTGCGACGCTTACTTTGTGTATGTAACAAGTTCTAATTGTGAGTCAAATTTGTACGAGAGGCCGTTTCAAGTGCTTTGTAGGTGATCGCACCCAATTTTAATACAACTTAGTCCAATTCTTGCCCAAGGCTCCTGTTGCCATCGTGTCTAAGGAATTCCAACTTTCCTTTACGTAAAGGAAGGCGTACAGGCATTGTATTGAACCTCAAAATTTAAAGGTAAATACAGCAAGTGCAAAACAAGTTAATCTATATCAAGTGTGCTGTTTGTCCCATGCTTTAGCGTCGGCGAACGTGCGATGGTACACGAACATAGCTGTTGAGGGCGTAATTCTTTTAAGACTTTTCCCCGTTCAGGAAAACTCAGTTTTTACTGACGTTAGCCGGTTCCGTAATCATCTAAAATTAATTTACGTTTTTAGAACAGGGTCACTTCTGTTGTCGATTCGTGACGGCAAAAATGCACCGTAATGGCTCTGTTTGCCGCAGTTATAAATATTCGGCCCTCGAATCACGACATCTCCGCAAATATTTTCCTCCAACTCTTCTTTGTGTGCAACCGCAGCGTCACGAAATACCTCTGTCTTTGAAACTCGATGATTTTTTTGCCATGAAGGAACTCTTCCCTGGTCGAATTTTTACGCCATTGAGAGTATTATTTCCTTGAGGGAACTCATTGGAAGAAAAATATTAGTTAGGAACATAAAATGAGGACCCGTGACCTCCGTTTGCCCGCCTCTTTGAAGACAATTAAAACTGACATCCTTATTTCAATGATATCTTGAGAGTATTAGTTCTTAGAGCGGTGTTTTATGGCGGCATTTGCTTTGTGGAACCTTGCACGCAAACGGAAAGAGTGTGAAGCCACCGGTATACGATAACACTTCTTTCTTGGCGAACATTTTGTCTGATAAAAATTGATGATAGTAATCAGAAGCTTCGGGTCATTTAGACAAGACAAATTGTGGAATTGAGAACTCAGTATTCGATCCTAGGACTCCGTGACTGCCCTTTAGTATGTTCGAATCTTACTGTGTATGGTTTGCAATGATATTGCTGCTTTCCCTGAAAGAAAACAAAGGCTCAAGCAAACGCGACGTAAATTAAATATATTGCTCTTGGACCTGCGCCGGATAGTTTTGTGGTATCACGGGAAGTAATTACAGATTATTGCTGTGGCAAATGGGCTTGAGTGGGTAGTGTAGACTCGAACAAACGCCCAAAAGTCTCCGGTGTTTATTCAATACGCTTTAAGCGAGTTATGTGGGTTTGGTCGTTCTGCAAAAATGAAAAGAAGGGTATTAGGGTGGGTGCGATACTCGTAAGGGCAGGTCTTTTAATTAGAAGGCCAGCCTTGAGTTTGCTTTATAAGTCATTTGACTTTATATTGTGGCCCAGGAATTTTCTTTATTTCTCTCGAAATTCAGTTGTTGTGTAACCTCCTGTATTCATTTCTTTTTCAAGAAAAGTACTTCATCATTTCTTTTCCATGTTTTTATTCAGGCACATTAAGAGTAAAATATAAGAAAAAGTTTATGAACCATTTCTCTTTCAAAGTTTTATCCTGATATCGTAAAAAAAGGGTGCGGATGTTTATCGGGGTGGAGTACAATAATAATGAAGAATTTTCAGGCCTTCATCTCACTCGGCCGGGTTTGGGATTGGTTGATTTTCAACAGCTCTGATTGGCCTATTCTAACTTCGTTGTTTTTGTGATGTGTTTCCTCGACGGTCTGCTGTCCCACGGCCTCCACGCTGACGGTGTTTCGATGATGTCCTCAATGAAATGCCGTACATACTCTGCAGTTTTTCATTAAAGATCATATTACTTCTTTCGAAAGCCAACAGTTTCCGCAGTTTTTGGCGTTCTCGAGGTCTACAGATTTGTGGACTCGTTGAAAAGGGAAAGACTGAAATTGTAGATGCTAGTGACACTTATTTACTGACATCCATTGCTTCTTTGCTGTGACTTTCAGGTTGTGGCTGACGCTGCTAACGGATACCTTACCTCTCCTGGAACATAAAGAGGTAAATTTTCGGAAATTGCTCTGCTCAACCAGGAGACTATGAACAGTTTAGGTTCTCTTGGTTCAAATCAAACTATAGGCACTTTCTCCAAATAGTTTGCATAGTTCTGGGAATTTTGCCACGACGGAAAGAAATGTATTTTTAGATCGCACCCTATGCACCCTCACCTTGGGTATTACTTTTTTCACTGTGCACCCACCCCGTCAGGACAGAGGAGTTTTCCTGTAAAACTTGAAGTGGTTCTCAAAAATTTAAATTGAAACACAGAGAGATATCATCATCATGTGAACAAGATCGCGATCAATGCGCAAATTTAACTTCTGCAAAGTTTTTCGTTTTACTTTGTAAACCACGCTCAGTTTTCAGTCCCGGTAGCGAAGTCATAGCGACAGCTCCTCTCATTCTTGTCGTTACTTGATTGTCACGCAACCTTTTTTTCAGTTTGATGACCATAGCATCGCGTGACACTACTGCATCCGAGTGGGGTGGATGGTTAAGGGAAATATCACTTTTGACAAAATACTCATTTGCCCTTTATTTCTTAGGTGATCTTCTCAAGCGCACAGACATACGAACTTATGCACTGCCTCGAAGCAATAAGGCTCTCGTTTAGGACAAAGGAGTACCTGGACCATCCTGACAAGGAACCCACCGACGAGCCCTTGATCAGAACTTTAACACAGGGTCCAGAGTCACAATCAGCGAAGAGTACTAAGGTAACAAGACCCTGTTGAATGTCCGGATAAATTATCTCAACTAGTGTAATTTTTTTCTCTTTGTAAAGTTTTATTTTTGTTTGTTTTCATACAGCGAGGGATGTGCTTGCTAATATTGAACAAATTCTAGCTAATTTCCTCGTCAACGTAATTTATTACACTGAAACACTTGAGAGAAATTGGAAATGGCGCCGTTGTCTTGCTTAATCTCGCCAGAATGATATTGAAGCGCAGGAGTAAAGGCTTGGCTTTAAAACTTTGGATATACAACGGTTTTCCTTTGATCTGATTGGCTGTTTTTCTATGGCATGGTATAAATTTTCGGTGACAGTGAAATGTGATAAATACAAATCATTGGGTTGCTTTTTGAATTTTTTTTTCTTTCTTTTTTTAACTTTTTGAATCTGAACAAACACTTACCTACTGACTTTCTTTTAATTCTCAACATCCCTTACATTTTTCCGGCCAATACTTTCACCTGTCAACACCAGTTATTATCGTCAATAGTTGTTTTTCATCGTGTTTTGTCGTTTGCACTAACTTAAAAAAACGTTTCCATTTACTGACTTTCCGTAGCCGGTGTGGTTGCTCTGCGTGTGTTTCGCATCTGTGGGTAACGCCGAAATTTTAAGTATGGTAGTTATTTAGAAAGGATATGAAAAGCTTTCAATGTCAAAACTAGTTAAAATGGTCACGTAACTTTGTTACTTGCTGGTCAGGGTGGTTCATTATGGAACCATGATTCTGAGGAATACTTCTGTTGTAGTAGAGAGCAAAATGTCTGACTGCTGTATGAATTCGGAAGGTAAACGTCTTTCATCGGATATCCAACATCTACCGCCGCGCGGGAAGCGGATGGAATAACTGCGAACAGTTTGACAAGTGTTTTCATCGATTTGAGGCAACATTTTTCTCAATAATAGACCTTGTTAGCATCGACAGGTCTTTTTTTTTTTTAAGGTCATTATCCTTGAGGTTATTTTCGCTTTCAAGTCACTCGTGGACACAATTCGAGAAATGTTATGAAGGCATGAGTGACTTCGTTTACTCGCTGATGTAAATGGAACGATATATTTTGCGATTCTCCCTGCTATTCTCTTTCTTTTTATGTTGTTTTTAAGGAGAATTACGAATAGTTATCAAGGTACTTGTACTTTGAATTTCCATTCGTTGTCTTAATTTTAGTTTTTTTTCTTAATGTCTTTGAGCGTTTCTCAGTATGTTTAAAACCCAAAAAGCTTCGACCATTCTTCTCTTTGTCGTAGACTAGAGGGGAATCACAGTAGGAAATCGTTTTAAAACGACACACGCATGTTAAAAACTTTGTGTGTCGTTTCCCTTCCTCGTGTGTGGCTACTTTAGAGACTGATGCCCCATTGTTGGGTGTTGTTCAGTTTCCGTGTGTTCAGCGTTATCGTACGTGCTATGGATATGTATATCTCCTTGGATTTCGGTCTCTACTGTCAGAACCTGTTGCCTGGGGCAATGTTTATTCTCAGGTGCGTCGCGTCAATTTAGCTGCTGAGAGAAATTTCCTTCCACGTGGTACACTCTGTCAAGATAGTTAGGTTACAAGTCTTTTCATTGGTCGGTTTTGCTAACGAGACAAAATCTTTTTAGAGTTTTTTTCTTCTAGAGAAACTTGTAGTCAATTCGATTACCAGTTTACAATTACGGGAGACTTAGACAAATGTACTTAAATAGAAAAGTAACGGAAATGGTTTAGTGCAGGACATGACCCAACGTAACAAAACCAGTGATTGAATGTCAAAGTTGAAAAAAGGTAAAGCTGTTCAAGGGTATGATCTTGCAGAAAAAAAAAGACAGAATTGATAGCTGCTTAAATGGGAACTGTGCCAAATTGCCTTTGCCTTTTTTTTCATTTCGTGGTGGTTTTCATATTTCTAATTGCCGTTACTAGCTTGTTTCTCGTTTGTGTGTGAGGGTTCAAGGTTTGAAGTTGCTTTAAAAGCTAAAAATGATAATAAATGGTAAATTGCCTCTTCCAAAGCTATGAAAATTTTTCCTCTTAAGAGATTTTTCGCTTTGCCAGAGGAGACCTGCAGGTGTTATTGGCAGGTGACCTAAGCTACCTTCTGTTATGTTAGTTTTAAATGTCGAAACTAGATTGGACCCCTCAACCGAAACTGGTTTTCTGATAAAACCAAGCGGTTAGGTTTTTTTCTTCTTTTCTTTTTCTTTTTTGTATCGACAATACCTGTCTGTGAAATGGAAAACCATGGTAACCGAGTCGCCTGATGAAATTTGCAAAGACCCCATTAACAAAACCTCATGTAGGTCTTAACGTTCATCGTCTGAAAATAATGAAAAAAAGGGGAAAAAAAGAAGAAAGTAAATGATTTTTACATATTTGTTTGCCGAGGAGCGGCAAACCTTTAAAGCTTTTGATATAGAACTCCTTTTGAAAGGCGTCGTTAACGAAACTATTCAAAAACACTTCTGAGGGACCGGCTTTTTTATTGCAGTCGATCGAAATTTTAAAACCGTGTTTATGTCGTTAAGGTAATCTTTTCTTTCCAATTCAAGCAAAGACTGAATTTAAATGATCGACGACTTTGCCGAATGCATTTCAAAGAAGCCGCCTTTCTGAAAACAGAAATAAATGTTTTATGTGTACATAGTTGTTCACAGTGAGTCGTGGGGTGGTTTTGTTCGCAGAAATGGAAAGGCGCTGCGTCTTAAACGGGCACCGAATCAAACAACGCACTGCCGCTTATGAAACTAAACTAACACCCCTCCTACGTGCCTAAAAAAACTCACTGTTCTACGAAATGGTAAAATGAAGTGAACTTAGTACATCATTATAATTTCGTGCCCGCACGTGCAGTGCCAATTGTGGTAATTATTCATGCTTTTTCCTTGTCGGAGTTTCCTTTGATGAATTATTGAGTTGGGTTCCCTGCTGTAGACCTTTACTGACTGTTGAGTTCCCACGTGCTTCTCAAGCGGAACTCGACACTGTTTTGGTAAAGGATGGCAAAAAGTAATGTAAAATGCAGCCGTTGCTTGGTATGCGAACCCAGTGTCAAGAGGATAATTTAGCGAAAACTTTAGAAATCTTTTCATAAAACCGTTGAACAGCAACTCTCCATCGGAAAAATGCCTCAGGAAATAAAGAGTTCCTTAAAAGTGAAAATTTACTCGTGTCAACTCTTGATTAAACCGAAATAATCGACGGCTTTTATACTCTAGCTTCCCTTTGGCCTACAGTTGGACTTGAATCATGATAGATTTTACTTAGCGTAGTTTTGATTTGTGTTGGTTTTCGTTTTCCTTCTCATAAGAATTATATTTTAATATTCAGACAAGAGAAGAGCTGGGCTACACGCGGGTTGTTCACAGCAACATGGAGATAAGTAATTTTATTGTCTGTTTTGGTGCACCCTTGCCAAAATTTGTTTCCAATTAATCTCAATCTTTACCATGAGACAAATTAAGGTAATGAATACTTGTTTCTGATCTCATGTTATAATTTTTCATTAGTTGCTTGTTTCATGTTTTGCACAATTCTTCTCGCTCGCCAAAACGAGATGGGTGTGTTTCTCTTTCATTTACATCTACATTAGATTGGGAACAAATTCCACTGGAATTATGGGTTTATCTTCAATTGTAAAATCGTGTATACGGCTTGTTTTTGTCCGCTCTTTCGTTCCAGGCATGCATGAAGTGTTTTTGGTTTTGATGGAACGTTCTAGAAGCAGAGATCGGCAGAACTCGCTGCTTGTGTGAACAGTGTACAAGTCTTTCGGTGTATTTGTCTTCTTTGTTTACATTTCTCGTGGTGTGTTTTGAAACGGACATCAAGAAGGTTTAGTGTGGGCTTATCGTTTCGAAAGGCCAACACTAAAGCTATTAAGGCGATCAAAGGCAGCGGTAAGCGACATGCTATCGAACTATGGCACGTGCTGTCGACTTTTTATAAATAGCAAACATTTTTTTCCTTGTCCTGATCTGAAAAGAATCGAAAAGCTGACAGGAATAAATGGTGTCGTCTTAAACTGAAACCTGGGTGTGATATTTTCAGAGATCTAAATTTAAATTGTTTGCGGCTTGTTTATCTTCAAACGTTTTGATGGTTCCGATAAAAGCGACCTCAGGGTGCGCCAGTATCGTCCTTCGTGATATGGCGTGCCTTCACTGATCTGTTGATTTGGCTACTCGGTCGGGGTTTGGAAACGACATTACCTCCTTGAAGTGGCTGCCACGCGTAACAAAGACGATTTAAAAAAAAATATTTTCATATCGATGATAACGAGTGATTCTTCAACGCACCGCTGGCTTTTAGCTTGTAGTAAGCCATAGGAAAGAAAAGAAAAGAAAGAAAGGAGTTAAGAGAGACTTTGTTATTCCCAATGTACGTAAATCTCCTGGTGAATGTTAGAGTAAGGCGATCTGTATTTGATGAACTTTATGCTCCATTGTCTGGAGGTGCAAGCGGATTACAGTTAAGCTTGTAATAGAGTTCTCGATTTCTTTTGCATGATTTTTTTCTGTCAAGCGGTATTAGTTTCCGAGCGTCATTTTTTTTTTATTGCTCCATTCCTGTATCATATTTCGAACGCTCAATACTCACTGTAGTCGGTTGGATAAACCGGGCGTCTGATGTCAGGAGAAAGTTTGTCGGCCGGCCTCTAATACCAGCGCCAAATTCAATATTTATCTTTCTGATTTATTCTTGGTCACGAATATTTGGCTAAAAAAAGTTTGCGGTGCCTTTATTTATTTTTGTTTTCTTTCTGACGGTATATCATAGCATCCCAACTCTTGTTCGCAAGTAAATTCATGTTATATTATTCAGTATTGATGTTGGTTCTGAACATCGGAATTTGTACCCAATGGGACTTTGTCCTTTTAAAAGAAAGTACCTCACAGTTGAAGAATTTTTTCCGAGATAATTTCTCGGAGACTCTTACAACTTTCCAACGTACGTTTGCATTGAAAATTTAAAAAGATTCATAAGAGTTCGTGGGCAAATTGCAAAACTCATCTAAAAAATATTCAGCTCTAAACACTCACGAATCTTATTGTAGTCAGGGTTCTCGGCGGTTTTGTGATCGTGGGCATTTGTCTTGGGAAGCCGCCCCCCCCCCCTTTTCATTTGAATCCAACATCAAGAGTCGTGGCTCAATAAAACAAAAAACTTGTTCACAAAATATTTTAGCATACCATTCGGCTTCTCCTGCCTGTTTTATAAGAGAGCTTAAGTATCACATTTACGATAGATTCTAAGTTTTTGTGTTCTAAATTTCTGCGAACACAAGAATTTTTACCTTTTAATCCTGACGGGTCAATTTAGTCTGGCAAAAATTAAGGGCGCTTATCAGACAAAGGTGATTTCCCAACGTCATTTTAGGTCAACAAAAATCTGGCCGACATTTCAAATTTACCTAAACGTTCCGTAATGCTTTGTAACGTCCTCTAGTCTCGTACTTCCATTCTCATTACGGAGTTCCTGTGTTTCTTGTCTCCCTCGACATTTCCAGCCGTTATTGTCATACTTTAGTCTACTTTGTGGGCAATTAATTCCCTGATCTACAGTCCTTGTGTCGTCGCTACGCTACAATGATTTTTACGTACTAAGTACTTGAGACTAAAAGGTGGATCAAAGAGAGAAAGATCGAGGTTTGGCATCAATTTCTCATGTAGATAACAGGAAATTTAAGGGGGTAAGGGGAAAAAAAAAAACGTGATTCGTTCCATGTCTCCTCTTTGGCAGTCAGCCCGTTGGTCTGGTTCATAACAGGTTTTAAACTTGTTTTAAAGCGGCGATCTTTGTCGCAGAGTCACTGTTCGTGCTTCTCGTCAAGAAGGAAATATTGAGAACATATCAATTCTCTGACGTACAAAATCGGATGAAACCATAAAGTATTAGCTCAGTAAAAGAAAAAAACGAGAGAGGTAATATAAAACTAAAATGGTGCTGACTAAGACTGGATGACACGGATTACGATTATGCGGCGACGATCTTAGAAATTGATGGCTAAATTTATAACATGTGGATATTATAACTTACATTACTGACTGTGAAAAAATATTCCCTTGACATATTTTCCGTCGAAGTCAGACCCATGTAAACCGGAAGACCAACATAAAAAAATTCCTCATTTTGACCTGCTTTTTACAAATTTTACAGCAATCCTCCTGTCATACTTCAGCTATCACGCTTGCTTTTTATTGCTACTAGTTAGTTTTTCGCATTCCCCTCTGATTAACGTCACTTCTGGAGTGTTGTTGTACAGCGTCAAATCCTTGTTGTTTTGATCTGGTATGCAAAGGGACGTGCGGGAATTTAGCCAAAAATAGATCGATTGCTTGTTCTTTGGACGTGATCTTGGAGTAGCTTAGTCCAGATTTGTGCTGGATTATTGAAAAAAAAAATCTCTCGTGTACCGCCGCTCGCATGATAAGTGTTTATTTCTGATTATACTGCGGAAGCCGGCCAAATTTGCTTTTAAGAGGGCGTGACCTGCCCTCCACGCTCTTGTTGAGAGTGTGCGGTAAGAATGAGCATTGTTTCAAGAGTCACTTCTCTAGGTTTCCTGTTTTGGTCATACTATAGTTTGTTCTGTGATTCAGTTTAAAGTACTAATATCAACTTGGAGCGTATCTTTGTCATGCCGGCCTCAACTACTTGAACTTATGAACTTAATCGGTATATTTTTGTCAGTTGCGTCAGAGTTGCAGAGCTTTGCGTGATGTTTTGGATCGCTGTTTTAACGAGATCTCTGATAGATATTGTAATGTACTCATTGAATTGGTTACAATAATACAATAACAATGTTACAAAAACACACATCGCTGTGCAATCTGAAACGTTTTGAGATAATTTCACGCGATAGTCGTTTTGGAATGTTGGTGGTGATCAGTTGTTTTAGATCAGCTTTCAAACCAGTTGTATTCCCATGTTCGTGTTTTATAGCCGTCCTCGTGCTATTACATACGCTTAAGTCAATTCAGGCTAAAAGTTCGAGATCCGTTCGGATTCAAGCAAGTTTTTTTTTTGTTGTTGTTGTTGTTGTTTTTTTTGCCGTGGTCGTTTGTGATTTCTGATCATTCAAAAGAAGGTCGAATTTTCGTGCTCTTTTTGTGACAGTTTTCAGTCAAGTACGAAGAAGGTTTATCGCCTATCTACTGCGCAATATCTTTCCTTACTATTCGAACAGGAAAAAATTGACAGCAGAGATACGTCTCGTTCATGAGCGAAATTACAGATATGGGCAGTGTGAAATTTTTAAGAGTGAATTGTGAGCTAGGCAGGACACTTCAGTCTCAGAGTGCTTCTCTCGAAGAGTTTAGTGGGGTTAGGACCAGTTGTAAGGGCCAGCCATCAAACCGGATAGGCTGAGATTGGCTTGCGGTGAGGTACGTCTCATCCATTGCATGCGAGTAACAATACTCGCAAGAAATTCACGTTACTGAAGCTGCTTAACTTTATCGTATGTCGGTAACTGACGTGAAGAATTTTTTCTTCATAGGCTCAAGAAGAAGAGGAAAGGGATAAGATCGACTTGATTCGCTTGGCTCTGGCTCGTAACTTGTCTAGAACTATTTTGTGAGCTTTGCGTTCATCGGTGAAGTAGTTTAGAGAAAAGAATGACGCGTTTTGGAAACGTAGTCGAGAGAAAATGAAGTGCAGGTTTTTTTTAGACCACTAGTAATAACTGAACGTACCCAGTAGATTAATTTCTAAATTTGTAAGCCACGCTAAAAAGGAAGCGGTAATGTGAACAAGAGGGGAGCTTTAAACTGTCACTTTTCAGTGACATGTTGAAAAATATGCTCCTTGAGTATGTTGTACATTAATATGTGTCCTTGATTTATGAATAAACTGTAACTAGTTTTGATATTTCGCCTTTTCGGTTTTTGGCTGTCGATTTACTATTGTCCCAGCTCATAAGCTACTAATCTCAATGACACCTGATCTTAAATAATTTGAAAACGGCGTCATTTTCCGCCAATAGACTCATCGTGTTTCTTGGGACTGGATGTCATTCACCTTATGCTTTCACTTCCGATTTTCACAGGAATACCAACAAACTCGTCACACAAAAATCACCTGCGTGAGTTGTTTTGGGCCATTCGTTTCTTCAAAACTTTCCCGCTGCCAAGGAAAGGGATTAGAGAAATTGAGAAGGATATTTTTTCCTTCTCTAAACAATAACTTCCTGACAGGTTTTCCAGATGCAACTTCGTAAATTTGCCATCCGATCCAGCTGAAACTTCTGCCAGTGTCAGGAAGTACAATGAACTCACTGCTTACATGATAGAAAATCAACTGAAAGGAGCTGAGCAGGAACTGGAAATAATTTCATATCTTAGGCTTTTGATACGATAGGATTGATCAGAAATGGAGTTATGGTGAGTTACGGTTAACGAGTTTGTGGACGATTCAGTCTTTCCTTCGTTTTAGAGGAGGATCAAAGTAATTTATTATTCATTGATGATAATTCCCTCTCGAACTTCTCTCTTCAGGCTTGCATCGCATTCGCGTATTATTTTTTTTTTTACACGGCCATATGCTTGGTTAAACTTGTTCGCGAAGTAATTCAAATTGATTAAAGGGTACTCCAACTTTACTTTCACATCCAGTTACCATTTGCAGTTCTTTGTATGTTCTCGCCTATTTAATGGAGGAACTTAGTCTGGTTAAAAGAAATGTCTGAAAAAAACTGCTATTGCAATATCTCCTCGATTTTCAAATGTTACTTAACAAGAGTTAGGAACGTAAATTTTGATAACGATTCAGTGATAAAAGACAGGGCCAGCAGGAGGTTATTTGAACGGAGGTGAAATTTCAAACTAGGTGAGGTGTTGACGCTAATGTTTTCTTCGTCGGTAAAAAAAAATTAAATTCATTTACTATCAGTTTTCTTTACAAGTGTAGGTTTTCATGTTTTAATTTTTAATTGAGCGTGGAAATTTTTTACCTTTTTCACACTTCTCTAGAAGTGGTTTATACTCTTTCAATAAGAACAATTATTTTAGAGGCATACTAGTGCTAATATTCTAAGCATTTGGCTTTTCATGGCAACTTGTTGTTGCGCTAATAAGGGGCGATTCGACACGTAAACGAAGGCTATTGCGCATGCCTTAATTATAAAGCTCTTATTTACCCCTTAGGCTCGACCTAATCATGATAATTATGCTTTTTAGGATCAGATGGACTCGTATAATTATAATTAGAGGTCTTATCAGCATTTGAAGAGCGGCCGATCGGAAAAGAAAAGCTGCGAGTGTAAGGGCTTGTTTCGGGCAAAGGCTGTTTAAACTTTGGCGGCGTGTCAAACGGCACGAAAGCACTTAAAGAGTGTCACAAGTTTGCTTTCGAGGCCGCTTATCGTCGCTTAATGAGCTTGTGGCGGTACGACCAATTCTGCATTGAATACAAAATAATAATTGCATAGAGACGCTGGCGCTTATACTCTGACTTTGAAGTCTTTGGCGCCCTAAATATCATGAAGGAGAGGACAGACTGAAAACTGATTTCTGTCTCGGTATCATTCACAATGCTACAAGACTGTTTTGTGCCGGCATGTTGCAAACATTTATCTCGTGCTTTTGCACGGGGCAATAAATAGCTAAAAAATCATCCGAAGGTTTTACGGGCTGTTCAGAGCAATCCGCTTTTTAAAGGACTATCTCCCCCGTCCAGCCATTTCGCAGGGGCTTGTTATTGTTTTAGCATTTCAAATCAATAGACTTTTCGTCGCCTTTTTTACAGTTTTAATCTTCTATAAACCGCTATTATTTGCTTTATTTCCCGTAAGCCCTTGTATTGCTTTCTCACTTAAAAAGTTTCGGAGTTTCTTTTATTGGAAGATCAAGTTCTTAATGTGGTTGCCACAACCTCTAGTTTGAAATAAATCAAGAACTGTCGAAATTGGAAATAGTTTTTCTTGGGCTTAGAGCCGATTTTGTCAAAATCATCGCAATTAAAGCGGCGGCCTGCGGCTTAAATGTTTATAATCTTCAATGAGGAATAAAAGCTCCCTTCTTCTCGAGGAATTTGGGCAAAAAGAGGATTCAAGATTAAAATTAAGCAATTTTTCAACAACCATCCCTCTTTGACGGGGTTTAGACAATTCCTCGATCATGGCAACAGTTTTACTTCATCAAAATGCAGCAACTTCAAACCACTTAGCCCTATAAAAGCTATTGATTTTCATGAACCGGCTTTGTCAATAGGCAATAGGCTGCCGGTATGGATTTAAAAGTCATTTGGAGATAGTGAATGTCAGTCCAGCTCTTTGCCATACACCGTCCATAACCATCTGTTTACATCCTGACCCTCTGCTACCAACAAAGAATCTATTGGAAATGAACAGAAATTCTCCTTCAAGCGGCGCTTCCCTGTCAAGATGTGTGTCAATATATTTTGAATTAAACTGTTGAAGAATACAGTTTACTGAAGGCAAACTGAATTTTTTATATTTCGTCTTTTTATTTTTGCTTTTAAGTGAAGGAATATTTGATGTCCACAAAGTGGATGTCTAGTGTTCTTCAAACGCCGACGCTAAGCCGGATGGTGAGTGCAGTTCGCAAAATATGCCGTTTCCCCATTCTGCTATTCTTGAGTTTTAATGGAATACTGATTAAAACATTCTAACCATTTGATGAATTATCTATCACAGTCGTAATTTTAACTTTCAGATATCTTTGTAATATTATGCGCCGAACAAAAAATTTTGGCGCAGGGTCAACATGTAGTTGCTCCTCACTGTTAATGCTGAATTTTGAGACTGGATGAAATGGCAGACCTCAGTTCTAAATGTCGATGGCAACATATTACAGGGTAAATTTTAATTCCTTTCTTTATTTCGCTCTTTCTTTTTTTCTTTCTCCCTTTCTGCTTTTTTTCCCCTCTTTTTTCATCTTTGTGCTAATGTATCAAAGAAAGGAAAGGACCTTGTCGAATACGAGGAAAAAAAAAAAAAAGAAAAAAAGACGTCGAAACGCACCGGTGAAAGTTAACCAAATAACTTTTTTTCTTTCAATAGATTTTCCTCAAAGTTTTCAAACGCTTTAAATTTGCGTAAATATTTTTTTTCCTTCATCTGTTAACATATTTAAAAAGTTATTAACATCACTGAGTCAATTTGAGGAATGATTTTTAAGTTCAGTATGAAATTCTTTTGACAGTAAGAAGTGGCATTTATTTGAATATGTCCTCTCGAGTCAGTTTGGTGACAATCTTTTACAAGCGATCTAGACGTCTGTGCAAATTCCCCTTTCAAAAAGGTTTAGTCGTCATCTCCGCATCTTGTTTAAAAATCAGGCTTTGAAATTTCATGACTTGCAAGATTTCGTTATTTAAACATTTATTTAAGTCGCAATAGTTTTTGGCCTAAAAATTTAAGTTCACTTTATTGATTCTGTAATAAGGTCGACTTTTGGAAACAGTCAGAGTGCACAATTCGGTCAGGCTCCGATTTCATTTGATTAAATTTCTGAACTATTGAATTTTCCATCTGTTTCGATGAGAAAGAGTTGAAGCCGTTTTGGCCGCCCATCTAAATCGTTCTTCTTAATTACGCCAGAGCGGCTTACTTCTTTACTCTGTGTGAACTCATTAGCCTGTGATTAGCCTTTAGAACTTCGGTTTCCCGAAATAAGATGTTTAGGTTCTGAATTGCTTAGGGTGCAACTACTGAAATTGATTACTTCTGCTATGGCTTTTATGAGCCTACGGATGATCTTCCGTGTCTGATAACATTTCCAGCGGTAAAGAAAAATACTAAGCTTACGCTAAACGCTCCTATTAAAACGACAGCGTTTTCTTTCCCTAATTAGCCTCCCTAAGTCAGAGTAATTTGTCGAAATAGCGAGAACCCAAGCAAGTCCTTTCCCCCGCACGTTTTGTCTCAGTTCCATTCTTAACTTCCGGTTTGAAATAACGCACTTCCGGTTGCTAGGCTTCATTTGTCTTTTGGAATACTATCCACTTTTTCCCTATCGCGAAAACTTTGAACTGCATTTTTCATCAGGCAAATTGCCTGCTCTGTTAAATAGCCATTATAATCGGAAACAGACGAACCTTTGAGACTGTGAAAGTATAAGAACTCGCCGACGCCATAACTACTGTCAGCTTCAATTTTTTTCCATTCACTAAGTAATTGACACTTCGGCAATGAACAGCGGCAAGTTCAAACGCTTCTAAAATAGTCTCTCGTTATAACGTGCAAAAACTTAAGGTGGCTAATTGTGGATTTATGGCTCGAAACTTTTAATTCTTCGGAAACAAATGTCGCAGTTGAAGGTCTAACAGGCACCTCGTGTACGTTTAATAATTTTTTTCCTTCGGTTGGCTTCGAGTGTTTTAACAATGCGATTCTTCACATCCGCGCCGCCTTTCGAAATTAAATAGTTTGCGTTGGTATCAGTACAGACAGGAAAACTAACACATTTACTTTCGGCCGTGAATTCAGTTTCCTTGCCACGAAATCGCACTATATTTAGTGACACTCCAGTTATTCATTTGCCTGCAGAGGGAATTCCTTGTGGCTTTCAATTCCACGCTTCCCTTCTGCGTGACCCGGCGGACGAATTACAATATTTCCAAAGACGTCAAGAAAAATCACTTGGCAATCAAAAATGCCCAGCATGTTCATTTGAAGGTCGTTATTTTAAGCCGGGTTTCTTTTACAAAATTCCCAAACAACGCCACGAGAATATCATTTGGTGGGGTACATGTAAACTAGCCTTAAACCTGGTACGATCGCGAAAATGTTTTCTTTTCGTTCTCCTACCACAGGTACTTCATTGGGTCGAACGTGTCAAAACGCGAGAAACAGGGATGATAAGGGAACATAACTTTTTCTCATCAAAAGAACCGGTCATACATAAAAG